CCCCCCCCCCCCCCCCACTCCCCCAACACACAGGAACACCAGCAGGACTCAAGCACGTCCACGGTGGAGACCTGCTACTGTAAAAACATTGGGTCAGGATGCATGCTGGGGCCCGACTCCTGGGAAAAGACCCCCAGCCCTCCAAGCCCAGAGAGCCCCCCCAGCTACTGCAGGCACCCAGGGCTGGCACAGACAGTATTAGCAATGCTTCACCTCGCGGCATAGGAGGGAGCAGAGGGGCCCCACGGAGACGTGCGTGGAGTTAGCCACTGGCTTCTGCCCGCTGCAACTGGTGGGCAAGCCCTGTCTCCATGTATATCTATCGAGATAGATATACACACGCATGCAGAGAGGCACGGATCAGTTTTATTTCAGCCAGGAAGTAATTGCGTAGGCAACGCGGCATTAAAAAAGAAAAAAAAGTCATGTTGTGAAAAGACTGTGTCACGTTAAGAGCCATCAGGGCGGCACCGGGGGAGGGTGGGGGACCCCCCCTTCCTCCCCCAGATCATGGGAGGGTTTTGCATAGCTCCAACCAGGGTTTTTCTGCAGCAGGGGAAGTTTGCGGCTCGGGTGGAGGAGAAATCACACTGCTGCAGCTCCCCTGGCTTGCTAAGCCGCCCAAAAAAGGGGGGTTTCCTGGGGAAAGAGATTTTCTCCCTTGAGGTAGAAAATAACATCCCATGCTAAGGACGGCTGGGGACAGACCGGTGCAAAGGGGCATCAGGGGGACAAGGGGTGCCTTGCCCTCCCCATGGTGCCCCTTCGCTCGCCTGGCCACACAGATGACGGACAGAAGACAACAGAGAGGCGAGGCCGCGCAGGGACAGCGGGCGTCCCCTGCCATCCGCTTTATTGACCCCCCACCCCCTCCTCTGCGAGGGGGCCGGCTGGGGGCGACACCCCCCCCAAGCCAGGGAGAGGAAAAACAGTGACAACACGATGCACAGCAGGACGGGTCCCCCTCCCACGCAGCCATCCCCTGGGACCGAGAGCAAGGTGACACACACACACACACACCCCCTCCCGGAAAACCACGAGGGGTATGCAACAAAACGGCCTAGGAGGCCCCAACCCCCCCCAGGGGACAACAGTGCAGGGCTGGGGGCAGCCTGGGCAGTGGTGGGTGCTGCCCCCCACTCCGCTCTCCAACCCCGGGGGTCTCGCGGGACAGCGGCATGAGTGCAGCCAGCCCTCACCAATGGGGAGAGTGTCCCCAGGGCAGCCCCCAAAGCTGCGGGGACCTCCCCAGCACCCCATCACAGGTGGCTCCAAGAGGCCCTATGAAGTCCCCCGGGGGCAGGCAGAGACCCC